GAGTTGTGGTTGACTTGATGAAGTTTTATAATTTTTTGGGATTTTTCTGTTTTAATATGAACATGGTTGTGTGGTTATATATGATGATTGGAAATGATTTTAAGGACTCTATGAGGTGGAAAAAGTGGTCAATTGCAATCAATTTCTGTTTTGGAAGAAATTTCAGAAAATTAGGTTTTGTGAAGGAACATTCTGCCCGAATTTTTAGCTCCCAGTTAGAGGGCGAATTGTCCTTGGCTTAAAACATAAAAGTTGTAGGGAATGACATTTTAGAGGTGCCCACAAAATTTCAGGTTAATCGGAGTAGTGTAGAATGAGAAAAGTCGAAATTACTATTGCTGTTCTGGTTTTACCCGAATGTAAGAATTGCGCCTGTAATTGGTTGTTTTGGCTGGAATTGCTTCCGAATTGGTTGTTGAGGCCTTCTGATGCAATTTATCCCTGTTTCTTAGCTTTCAGCTGGTTTTGGAATTTCTGGATTTGGACTTGGAGAGCCTGAGTTATGAGGGTTCCGCTAGAATACGTTCTGTGAATCTGTTTTTCCGGTTCTGGTGTAGTTTCTTGCATTTTTGACCTGGTTACACTCGAAACTGGGTTGAGTGACCTTCTTTAATATTGTAGCCCTGTCTCTTAGCTTCGAAACGGGGTCTTGTACCTTCATCCGACAATCGTAGCGCCTTTGGTACCATTACCGCAAAATGACGTCAAAACTGTTTTTCTGGTTTTGAGCTTAACTTTCATTTCCGGACTTTTCCCTAACTTGACTTGTACTAGTACTACTTAGAGCTTGCTGAATGGCTATTGGATGAACTTGTTGTTGTGTGTGTACCTTTGGGACTGGTTGAAGAAATAATGAAGCCATGATTGCTGGAAAAGTTAGCAAATTTAGGGGAAATGTTGTCCGAACTTTTAAAGGACTTGTTTGCATTGAGTTTATGATTTAAGACTTGGATTTGAGCAAGGCAATGATATTTGATGGATGATTTCTGAGCCATGGAGGTGAGTGACCCTAAACTATTTCCAAAGTAATTGTGAAATGCTTCTTGCATTATTTATTCGATTGCATATCATGCGTGCTTGCATGTGGATTCAAGACATGATTTGGCTTCAATGAGTTCTGGGAAAGTCTAGTGCTGGACACCAACGTCTCCACCTTGTTTATGGTTCATGTTCGTGTTTATCTGCAACTCAAAAAGGGGCTCCCTCTCTATGTTAATGTTAAATGATCTATTTGAGCGTTGGGTGTTCAAGTGCAATAATTTCACCGGCTCATGAGAGCAATAAACGTACATTTGATCTCTGAATCATGACATCATCGAAATTATCGAAATGCATTATTGTGAAATATATTTGATTTCTGATTTTACTGGTTACTCGCTGAGCTTCTAGCTCACCCCAAAACTATTTTATTCCCCTCCACAGGGCTCGTGGCGAAGGAAGGATGATTTTATTGTTGTGGAATTCCTCTTGTATAGGAATTGGGATCATGGATCAGAGTGGCGCAGTGGAAGCGTGGACGCTTCGCTTTTGATATGTAAATGTTGGAATATTTGAGTTATATTTGAGATTTATCTTGTATTTATTTGAGGACTGTAGTGAACGACTGAGTCACGGCGAGAACTGGGCAGACGGTCCGCCGAGCCCTCTGGTTCGCCTTAGAGGGAGGTGGGGCTGTCACAGTTGGTATCAGAGCTTAGGTTTCAGATCTCTGTAGTGTATCCTAGGCTTGAAGTTTAGGATGCCGGACTGTGGGTTTGGTTTGCAATATTAGTGATTCTTGCGGGATATCTCGACTTGATTGGTACAAGATGGAATGTCGAGGACGACATTCTTTTAAGGAGGGGAGTTTGTGACGCCCCGAAAGAATAAGAGTGAGAACCCGGAAATTTTCTAATTTTCTAGGGTTTATTTTTTTTTAATCGCCCGCCTTTTCTACGATTTCTTGATTAGAAAAATTCCCCAGATAAAGTTTATGAGCAAAGATAGTTTTAAAATGATTTTTCTAGTATCGGTTAGTTTTTGAGAAATTAAGAGCGTATTTTGAACGTGGGACCCGCAAGTGCGGTAAATGCATTATATTTTTGACAACTTGTTGGAATTTTGTATTAAGTGATATTATTTTACAAAGTGTTAAGATATTTGTATTGGAGAGACAAAACGATAAGTTTTAAACCAAAAAGGTGACATGTGTCACCTTCTTATTCAAAGTTGGACTTTGACTAATTTGCATCACCTTTACTAAACCTCAAAAATTGACCAATTTCTCTCCATTTTAAGCTTGTCTTGGCCGAACCTCTTGGAGCAAAAATACAAGAAGAAAGCCTTCAACTCCAACTCCATTTCTTGCTCAATCTTGTGAATCAACCGTTAAACTTTCAAATTCCTCCACAAAAGTCACTTGTTTAGGAAGATTGAAGGTAGTGGTGAAGTGATTAGAGAAGGCAAAGGACTAAGCCATCAACTTTTTTGATATTTCAAGGTTCATGTCTAGCAATCCTTTCTTTGTTCTTGATTATGCTAAATTAGTGACTTGTGATGGCTAAAGAGATGGTTTGATGGATTATATCTTGAGTTGTGGTTGACTTGATGAAATTTTATAATTTTTGGGGATTTTTCTGTTTTAATATGAACATGGTTGTGTGGTTATATATGATGATTGGAAATGATGTTTAAGGACTCTATGAGGTGGAAAAAGTGGTCAATTGCAATCAATTTCTGTTTTGGAAGAAATTTCAGAAAATTAGGTTTTGTGAAGGAACATTCTGCCCGAATTTTTAGCTCCTAGTTAGAGGGCGAATTATCCTTGGCTTAAAACATAAAAGTTGTAGGGAATGACATTTTAGAGGTGCCCACAAAATTTCAGGTTAATCGGAGTAGTGTAGAATGAGAAAAGTCGAAATTACTATTGCTGTTCTGGTTTTACCCGAATGTAAGAATTGCGCCTGTAATTGGTTGTTTTGGCTGGAATTGCTTCCGAATTGGTTGTTGAGGCCTTCTGATGCAATTTATCCCTATTTCTTAGCTTTCAGCTGGTTTTGGAATTTCTGGATTTGGACTTGGAGAGCCTGAGTTATGAGGGTTCCGCTAGAATACGTTCTGTGAATCTGTTTTTCCGGTTCTGGTGTAGTTTCTTGCATTTTTGACCTGGTTACACTCGAAACTGGGTTGAGTGACCTTCTTTAATATTGTAGCCCTGTCTCTTAGCTTCGAAACGGGGTCTTGTACCTTCATCCGACAATCGTAGCGCCTTTGGTACCATTACCGCAAAATGACGTCAAAACTGTTTTTCTGGTTTTGATCTTAACTTTCATTTCCGGACTTTTCCCTAACTTGACTTGTACTAGTACTACTTAGAGCTTGCTGAATGGCTATTGGATGAACTTGTTGTTGTGTGTGTACCTTTGGGACTGGTTGAAGAAATAATGAAGCCATGATTGCTGGAAAAGTTAGCAAATTTAGGGGAAATGTTGTCCGAACTTTTAAAGGACTTGTTTGCATTGAGTTTATGATTTAAGACTTGGATTTGAGCAAGGCAATGATATTTGATGGATGATTTCTGAGCCATGGAGGTGAGTGACCCTAAACTATTTCCAAAGTAATTGTGAAATGCTTCTTGCATTATTTATTCGATTGCATATCATGCGTGCTTGCATGTGGATTCAAGACATGATTTGGCTTCAATGAGTTTTGGGAAAGTCTAGTTCTGGGAAAGCTTGCTGAAAGTCTTGTCCAAAGGAATCACATTTCAATGCAGTAAAAAAAATCCTTAGATATCTAAAAGGAACCTTGAGTTTTGGCCTTTGGTATCCTAAGTGTCATGAACTTCCTCTGTGTGGATTCTCTGATGCTGATTTTGGTGGCTGTAGGTAGATAGAAAAAGTACAACAGGTATATGTAACTTTCTTGAAAATTGCTTAGTGTCTTGGTTTAACAAAAAATAAAATGCTATTTCATTGTCTACAACTGAAACTGAATATGTTGTTGCTGGTGCTTGTTGTACTCAATTGTTAAGGATGAAAAACACATTGAATGATCTTGATTTAGTGTATGATTGTGTGTCTATGTATTGTGATAACACTAGTGCCATCAACTTGACAAAAAATCCCATTCAACATTCTAGGACTAAGCACATAGACATAAAGTATCATCATTTCATTCGTGATCTTGTCCACAAGGGTAAAATTTGTGTTCATTATGTTTGTTCTAAAGATTAAATTGCTGATATCCTCACAAAAGCCCTTCCACTAGATCAATTTGTGTATCTGAGAACAAAACTGGGTGTTTTAGAAAAAATATTCTAAGATTTTTTTTTCTGGTCATTCCTTATCGGACGTCCAATGGGTTAAGAACGGACGTCCGACAGTGTTCTTCATCCCTTTTCCAGAAAAGTTTTGGTTCGGACGATGGTGTCCGACGCTTCATTTCGTTTGACCGTCTGACACTCAAAAATTGCGTCTTATAAAGAAATTCTCTGCATCATTCAGTTCATTCTTACCCTTTTATTTCGGATGCAACTCTTCACATTCTCTCAAAGTTCAAAATTCAAATTCGTCTCTCCTTGGAACAAGTACCAAGAAATCACTCTGACCAACACCTTCTCACACCTATGGCCAGTTTATTGCACTTCGCAACTTCTCTCAACCGCTAACTACACTATAAATCCCAATTACTATCCGAAACTCTAATCATAAAAACTCACTCTCTGTAGACTGTTTGTGCATCCATTGTAGTTCATACTGAACTTTTCACCGTTTGATACTCATTTGCATCACATCACACAACACAAACCACACTGCACTTCAATCTTGGTGAGGATTAGAGGGGGATCAGTGAGCGCCGGACGCACTTTCAGGTTGCGTGACGTAGAGGATGAAGATGTTCAAGTTATTGAACCCTCCATCAAATCACCCAAGAAGAAAACTAGAAACCGAGGTGGAAAAACGAAACAATCTGCAAGAAAAAAGCAGAATGTGCAAACTAGGGAGCCATCTGATGAGTAGATGGAGGAACAGCAATCTGAAGGGCATCCAGTGAGTGACAATGAAGAGGAACCAGTGCAGCCCACCAATGCAGATGTAACAGTAACCAAATCACCCAAGAAAGAAAAAAGAACTGCCAAAAGAAAGAGCATTGCTCAACCCAAGGAAAAGCAAACTGTTGATCCTTCCAGGGATCAACAGAATGCAGAGAAAACTACTGAGGAACAGCAAACTGAGGAACCGTCTGCCAGGAGATCACCAAGAACAAGGTCTGGTGTCCAGAGTGTTGCGCAAATTGCTCAGCGCAGTAGAAAAAGGAAGCGTCCTGAGCAGCTTGAGACCCACACTGCTACTGAACCCACTCATCTACCCAAGTTCATTGACGATGAAACCAGAGAAAAGTTTGAATGGATCTCGTAGAAGGGTTTCATCACCCAGAGGACCATTATCCCCAATGAATTCCGTAAGCTTGATCTTGAACCGATTCTCAACCTATTTGAATTCCAAAAATGGACCCATCTTTTAACCATTCCAAACACATTCTATCCTGACATGCTCCATCAGTTTTTTGCTAATTTTAGGAAAGGCAAATCACATACTGATCTCATTTCTCGTGTCAACTCTGTTAACATTGAACTGAACCCTGACATTGTTAACTCTGTTTTGGAAACCAAAATTGAAAGTGGTTTTAAAGGCAAAATTGCAAATTTCTTTTCTTACGAAGAATTTTCCTCTGCATATCATCACTTTCATGTTACAAATTGATGACCTATTTTCAGTCTCATTTTAATCCTCCTGCTGAGGCAAGATTGAAAGATCTTAGTTCTCAAAACTTGATCATCTTTACCATCATTTTAAATCTGTTGGTGCCCACTGATGGTCACAGAACTGATGCAAACAAAATGGAACTTTATCTGTTCTACTATTTTCTTGAAAAAATCTAAATTGATTTTGGTTTTGTCATATGCAAATTTCTGCTGAAAATCAGCACTGACAGCCGTAAGAAGCTGTCCTATGGAAAATTTCTAACTCCTATTTTCCATCATTTTGAAATTCCTTTCACTGAAAAATCCCCAAAAGAGAGTGCATCAACTGTGTTTTCAAAGGCTTACTTTGAAAGGAAAAACTTAAAATTTTTTGAGGGTCATTGGTGCTACAAAGAAACTGTCTCTAAGTTTATGAGGAAAAATCTTCATGAAACCCCTGTCACCCCTAGGACTTCTCGTGACTAGTTAATGTATGTGACACCCTTCACCATTCATCCTAGAAAATCAGTTTCTAAATTTCCTTCATCTAACCTTGAGGTCATCACTCTGCTTGAGGACCTCAAACAACATATCCTGTTTCTTAAAGATGGCTTGATGATGACCATGATTTCTGATCAACAAGCCACCTTCGTTGCCAAAAGGAATACGCTCGTACCTCCCATCCCTCTATAAAATGAAAATGCACACCAAATGGAGTCTAGAACTTAGCCAACCACAGAGGTTGCCCCAGAGAACCGTGCCTCCAGTTCTTAACCACAGAACAAGGGAAAAGCTCCGGCAACTGGAGAAGAAATTGAAGAGGAGGATGATGATGATGAGGATGAGGACACTGAGAAAGAAGACCTTGCTCAGTTTCGTCTGGCTAGAAGAAAGCCTGGATCCTCCAAATCATATTTTAGGCACCCCTAGGAACATGCACCTCATGGTAGTCATAATAGGCTCTTGGCATCCCTTGCGTTTCAAACTTTATGTGTTTTGTATTAAGACTTCTACTTTCCCTTTCACTGCTGCTCTCTAAGAATATTTGAATATTTTGTGTGTTTTGATATTCCTATGGTTATTCCCTTTCCCTTTGATATTCCTATAGTTTTTGGATGAATGTTTGGTACTTAATGTCTGATATTGTTTGTTGCTGGACGATATCGAAGGTAATATGGCCATGGTTAGTTTTATAATGACAAACAGGGGGAGAAATGGATTAGATATGAATTCTTTATGTAAGAGGAAGTCAATTTTTTTTCTAAGTAAACATGAGTGAACATTATTCTGAAGGGAAGTTGTACTTAAATTTTGTACTCAAGCAAAGTAGGGAGATGTATTAAGTAAGGGGAGCTGTACTTAATATGTATTAAGTAAGAGGGAGCTGTATTTAATTTTTTACTCCATCCATTGTTTTGTCATCATCAAAAAGGGGGAGATTGTTCATTTCAGTCCGTATCTTTTGATGATTACAAAACCAATGGATATTACTAATTTTCCCTAAAACAGATGTTTTCAGATTTGGAGCAAAACAGGCTAACATATGCTGAAGCATGAGTCGGACGCACGAAAAGTCTGCATCGGCAGTCTGACAACCTTCGAGTAACTTCGGACGCATAAGGAACTCACTCTCGGACGTCCGAAAATAATAAGCTGAGTTCTCTAAACTCACTAACTTCGTTCGGACGTATAACACCTGAGTACCGGACGTCCAACAAACATTGAGACACTTCAGACGCAAAGCATTGAAGCATCAGATGTCCTAAACATTTCAAGAAAACTTCTTGAACTCATTGCTTGAGATCGGACGCAGAAAACTAGCCTATCGGACGTCTGACACCACCAACGGTTAGTTGACTTTTCAGCTACCTTCTATCCATTGACAGCATTAAGTGAAATACTTTTTGGTCTCCTATAAATAGAGCAAAGTTAACCACTTCAAAATAACTTTGCACATTGAGACTACATCAGATCTTGAGTGATTCAAGTGTGAGAATACTCTAGAAAGAAGATTTGTACTCTTAGTTGTGGAACTTTCAATAAACTTTTCAAGTGTGTTTCTATTTCTTCAATAGTGTAGCTTTGTGAGGGCTATTTGAGTGATTGCAAAACTTCCTTGTTTGACCAAGTGCGGCTTGGGTCGAGGAGGAAGTGATCCTTCCTTTGTACACAAGAGATTGGTTGTAAGTTGATCAACTTGAAGAAGCTTGCTATATAAAGTGGAATTCAAACTCAAGTGGAGTTTGAAACTTGGTTTGCTATTCTATCATTTTATTTACTGTCTTGCAATATAAATTGTCTATCTCTTCTACTCCTAAGCACTTGTGCTTCCTCATCAATTGTCCCATTGTGTGGTCCTTTGGAAAAAGAAGGCAAGTTCTCAAAAAATGACACATATCTTGGCCAATTTTTGAACCACCTAATTCACCCCCCTCTTAGGTTGTCTTCAATCCTTACAACATTTTAGAAAACCCTATTTAGTATCATCTCTTGACTGGCTTTTGGCAAAGCAAGAAAAGAAAGAAAAAGAAAAAGACACGAGTTAGTAAGAATTGAAGTAATTCGGATGCATGTCCTATTGGAGGACCCTTTTTACGCCAAGGGTTGGCCTAGCATGAAAATGCAATCCTTCAGGGTAAGTATTATACAATACCTGATGGATCCGATCAATTTATTGCCATTTGATTGGAAGGTAATTTAAAAATTTTGGTCAATTGAACGACGAGAGATTTCTAGCCCAATAGAACAAGGGTAAAGTCCGAATGGATTGAATGTTTGGATTGATACAAGAATTTGTAAAAACACACCGATTTGACCTTGAAGAACTTTCTATCTAAGAGATTGAAATTTGTTGACAAATTTTCTTAATTAAGCATGGATCGAAGCCCAACCGATCAAATGGCTAGATGCAATGGATGGTTTTCTCAAAATCGACTAGGTTTTCCAATTTGAAATTTGTCATTGAAACCCTAATTGATCAAATGGGTTGAATCACATTGATGATTTGCTAAAAATAGACTGGCTCACCTAATCGATAAAAACCTTAATTTGACACTTTCGTTGCCAACGCATTAGTCTATGAGCCTTCTACAATCAAGATTTTGGATTTGATTCATTTATTGTCTTAATAATGAGGAGTCATTCATGAATTTATTCAATTTAAGGTCCTTTATGCAAAGGATTTTACCAATTTTATAAAATGGGCCAAAAAAATGAGTATTAGAGGCTCATATTCTAATGTACAAAAGATCGCTTTATAAAAATGATCAGATCCTACCTTACTTTGTGCACTACCCCTCTGGATGTTACAAAAATATAAACGTGCAAGTCTTCTTGGATTAAGTACCAGAGGCAAAATGGTGGATTATTCCTAACACGGGATTCCCCATGTGGCATTCCCTCTAAAGTTTATGCATCATGCCAATTTATCAAAGCGATTAAATATGCAATTTGAAATGAAAACATGACCTAAGGGGACCCCTTTGTGCCAGGGTGGGCCTAAATTGATGTGCAATTATTAATCTACAAATGCAATACATTGAAATTTAAACGTGCAATAACCTATCTAAGAGAGTAGATTCTACAAGAGTATCACGCCAAAACTCTTATTTTCTAATATTTGTGAATTCAAAAGATGGGAAAACAAGGAAATGTTAGCTCAACAAATAATCACATAACACGTTGAGTAATTTAGATGATACAAAAAAAATAAAAAATATAAATAAAGAAAGAGGGGTGGAATCCCTCCCTTCATGCGTAGTGTTCCTAGTTGGGTACGATCGACTCTATTCTAGACGATTTCTACTATGGATGCATGAGGTTGGACTCACTAATGCACCTAGACTCGATAAAGTTTCAGGTCCTGAAACCTTCAGACCAAAGGAAAGGTGTGAGGACTCGCAAAAATTATTATTTTATGCCTAATTTATGGATTAATAAATTATTTAATTGGATTTTATTTCAAAGGAATATTTTCTAGTCTTATTAGACCTAAATACATGGTAATATAATTTCGTTATATTTTTAAAATGATTCGTTTCGAAAATTAATTTCCTAGAGCGCGTTTAGTAAATAGTGAATAGTACTTGGAGATTTTATCCGCGTAGTAGCATTATAAGCTTGGAATATTGGAGACTTGTTCTATGGTCCTAAAATAGGTAATTTCATGAATAAATACTCAAGTGATAGTTAATAGCGCAATCGTTATAGGAATTTCTCGGAAGTTTCGCGTTATAGCGTTAAATTTGACGGTACGCGTTTTCACACGCGCGACTTCATTTGAGGGACTTTAGACCTTTATTTCGGGACAATTAAGAGTGAATAATATTTACATGAATATATATGCCTTGGAGGTTTAGTGCACTAGTGAACCAAACGCGCGAGAAAATCGAGCCGTAATCGCACCAAACGGCCCCTAATGAGAGTTGACTTTTGGGTGAATTACCACCACTTATTTCACCTTCTCTTGGAAGCTAAAGGAAATCAGATTTCCCTCCACCTTCTCTCTCCTCATTGCAGACCAGCTCCCTCCTCTCTCTAACTCATTTGCAACAAAATTTCTGCTCACTAATCTCACTCAAAATCACCCCAAATCATCTCCAAATTTAACCAAACTTGCACCACACCTAGCTTGACACTTGAGGATCATTTTGAGCTGCAAACAAGGGCTGGAAATCACGGTTTTTCTGGGGTAATAGAGGGCCGAAAATTCTGCTAAACATCAACCCAAAGTAAGTGATGATCCACTCTTGAAAACTTGAAGTTTGGAAGCTATCTTACCTTGTTAAGTTCATGCATGCATTTGGTTAGCTTGTGTATGGTGTAAAAATGTGATAGTGGGCTCTTGGAATTCCCACACTTGGGTTGTTGTTGCTGATGTGATGATTGATGGTGATTATATTGTTGGTTTAGTGGTTATAATGATGCATTAGTGGTGGGTAATTAGTAGAAACTTCATTGGGTGTAAGAAGCAAAAACTTCCGATTTTGCCCCTGCCATGTTCGGCCATTTCCAGGCCAATTTTTAATGGTTTAATGGCTTGAATTGGATGTTTATAGGATGTATTAGATGTGTGAAAAATTTCATTGGAAAATATTGAGGTTTGATTGAGTAAATGAATTTTTCTTGAGAAACTAGCAATCTGGAAAACTGTTCGCGTATGATTCTGACCAGTGGTAGTATTTTGGCTATAACTCTGTCCTCGGATGTCGAAATCATGTGCCGTTGGTGGCGTTGGAAACTAGACATTCCTGGATTTAATTTGGTATATAATGCACGTTCTGATTCTTTGTGAGCAAGCCGAACCAAATGTTTTAAGTTCGCTGTCCTGTTGCTCTGTTCGTCTGGAATGAAGTGTTCAGGCAGCGACTTGATGCCCGATTTTGAACCAGATTGATGCCAAATTTGGAAACGATTTCTTCTGTGATATTTTATTCCTATGAATGTATTTTCCAACGGCATAAGCCATGCTCGATTTCGAGTTATATTGACTGAATTGTGACCAAAACAAGTGGACTGCTCTGTTTTGGAAAAACCCTAATGTTGGACTGGTTTGGAACAAGATATTGGAGTGAACTTGTTAATTGATGTTCTTGATACTAAACACTTACCAAAGGCATTATGGATGTTTTTAGGCCTTTATTTCACAAATGAACCATGATTGGATAGTTTGCTTGATTAAATGTTTTGAAATGGGTAATGAAAGTCTCAAGGCAGATTGCCTTAGAATTTTTCATGAACTTTGATTGACTATTTAACTACCTTCCCGAGGGTATTTTTCTCTGAATTTTGACAGAGAGATACCTTTCATATGGGAGTAAAATACTGCCAATTTTGGTGCCAATCCAAGTTCGTTTCGATACCTAATTAAATTCCTCATGTTGGAGGTTCAAATCTGGAAATTCTTCTCCGGTCTTGAATTTCCCCAACTT